AAAAAAAAAAAAAAAAAAGAACTTCTGTTCACCAAATCACCTTAAGAAGAATGAGGTCTTACCTTACTTGTGGGAAGGAGGTATTTACAATACATATAACCAGAAAAAAATCAGTATGAGAACATATGAAGCCCTCCAACAAATTCAGTAAGAAAGAAAAAGTCAAACATCCAATAGGAAAATGGACGCCAGATGTGACCAGGCATCTTATCACAAAGGTGTGTGTATGCCAGTGAAATCACAGAGAGACTTGTCATCTTCATTGGTAACCAAGGAAATGCAAATCAATACCATACTGAGATAGTGAAGTGATCAGAAAATCAAGAAAGCCAAGCGTTGGAGACATTATACAGTGACAGAATCTCATATGCATAGATAAGAGTGTAAATGGATAGCTCCCTTGAAAGGACATTTTTTAATGATCTTATAAACATGCACATTCACATGCCCTGTGACCCAGCAATTAAATTTCTAGGTAATGCTAAAGAAAAGCTCTGTTATGTCAATATAATGAGACACGAAGAAGAATGTTCATGATGGCAACATCTGGAAATAACTCAAATGTCCATCAATATGAGCCTACAAAATAGACATAATCATAGAGCAAAACATTATCCAGTGGGGAAAATGAATAAACTGCAGCTCTGTACAACAGTATAGATGAATCTTCATAATGCAAGGTTGAGTGTATGAAGAAAGTCCAAGAAGACTGCACAGAGGGTGATAATCTTTGTGGACTCAGTAGCAATTAACATTACGTGGTATTGGGCAGCACCTGTGGCTCAGCGAGTAGGAGGCCGGCCCCATATACTGAGGGTAGCGGGTTAGAACCTGGCCCTGGCCAAACTGCAAGAAAAAAGTAGCTGGGCGTTGTGGTGGGCGCTGTAGTCCCAGCTATGTGGGAGGTTGAGGCAAGAGAATTTCCTAAGCCCAAGAGCTGGAGGTTGCTGCGAGCTGTGACGTTACAGCACTCTACTGAGGGCGACAAAGTCAGACTCTGTCTCTAAGAAAAAAAAAAAAAAGACTACGTGGTGTCTCTTTCCAGTAAACATATGCGTGACAACACTAGGAAGAGATAGGGGAGGGGTTAGAGAGCAACACAGGTGATGTAAGTTGTCGTCAGTGTTTTGCTCTTAGGTGAGATGGTGGGGTCACAGTTATTCATCATATTATGAATAAAAATGAGTAAGTAAAAGTGAATAAGCCTTGTTCTAGTGACAACAGCTTGGTCATCAACCAAGCATTCTGGAACAACTCCACTCAGGGCATCATGGGCCAGATTTTATAAAAGGGGGAGGGGCATGCTGGAAGGAACAGAGTGAGGGAAAGTAAAAGACCCAGTCCCTGTTCTCAAGAACTTCACAAGCGGGATAAGGGGGTAGAGGCATGAAAACGTGGCTATGATGTGTGAGAAGCCCCTCAGGACAGGGTGGCATGTGGACAAAAAGGGATTGATGTCAATGGGAGGGAAATGACAAGATTTTCCCAGAGTAGGAGAAACTGAGGTTAGAGCTGGAAGGATCAGACAGGGTGGTCTGGTGGAAATGGGGGAAGGAGGGGCCCTTCAGGTGGAAGGGAAAGTACATGCAAAGCCTCAGAGTTGTAAGAGGTTAGATCTGCACAGACAGTAAGAAGTCCCCTGTGGCCAGACCACAAGACTGGCTCAGAGGGCAGGAAACAGGCTGATATGGCCATCAAGTGAGGGACCAAGGAGCAAGGATTCGATTCTTTAAGCGATGAGCGCAAAAAACACTGAAACTCCAGGTGGGCTAGAAAGTAATATTTAGGGGAGATGGTTCTAGAATCCCTGAAGTTTGAGGGATGGAGGCAAGGAGGTGAGGCAAGGAGGCTAAGAGATGGAGGCAAGGAGGTGAGGTGGGCTCAGTGGTCAGTAGAGGTGGGGCAGGGGAATGGGAATGGGCAGAGGACCCCTCAGCTTTATGCAGAAAGAAGGTTGGACAGGACACAGTGATTTATTGGCTCTGAGAAGTGAAGGGGGAGAACAGGAGAGAAGACAAGTCCTAGGGGTCTGCCCGGGTGACCCGGGAGGAGAGGATTTAGGGAAATGCTGAGAACCTCAGTCTGCACTTGTTGAGTGGACATCTTTAGGGTCCCCACCCCTGTGCATGAGAAGATGCCCAATTCACTCACCCAGGCAACTGTACCCATAACAGGGTCTTCATCATCCCTTTGCTCTGGTTTCCCAGCTGCTTGCTTCCTTTGGGCCTTCACGCTAAGGGAAGAAAACCAGCACAAGGCAGCTGGGATGGCTCAGGCACCTATGAGCAGGCTGCCTGGACCCCTGTTAAGACGTGAAAATGATGACTGGAGTGTCCAGGCCCTGGAATTAGACTCAGAGACCTTCCTGATATGCAAGTGGGGACTTTATCCTCCCAGATGACCAGGGATTTGGTCAAGGAGGCCAAGGACTGAATTTTCCCCATTAAAGAATCCCTGTTACACACAAAAACTTATACATGAATGATTATAACAGTGCTATTCATAATAGCCAAAAGGTAGAAACAACCCAAATATCCATTAACAGATGAATGAACAAATCAAATGTACTCCATCCACAGAATGGAATATTATTCAGAAACAAAAAGGAATAAAGTTCTTTTATTTTTTCCTGAAATGAGGGGTCCCCCTCTTTCATAGGCTGGAGAGCAGGGGCACAATTGTAGCTCACTGCAGCCTCACCTGGGCTCAAGAGGTCCTCCTGCCTCAGCCTCCCAAGCATCAGGAATGAAGCAATGGGACATGCTACAACATGAATGAACCTTAAATGTGACGATAAGTGAAAGACACCAGCCACAAAGGACATATCATATTTCTCCATTTACAT